GCAGCCTTTATCATCATGCATCCTATTGATTGCTATGAAAGGAAACACGAGCCCACAGGAATTGTTTTGTAATGATGGGTGGACACACAGCTTTTAACAGCTGCCTGAGGACTTTGCCAAAGGTTGGCCCAAATTAATTTTTCATTCCCTTGTTCCATCCATCATGCCATGCAGTTACTGATGCCTCTGAAAATAGCACTCTTGGCCAGCATAAGAGGATCACACCTGCCCAGCTGTTCTGGTTGGTCATGGTCTTTTAGGTGATCCAAAGCCCACTAAAACAGTTGGAAAAAGTCCTATTGATCTGAGTGAATCTTTGGAGCAAACCCTTAGTCCTTATTTTTACTGAACCAGGTGTATAGGCTGGCAAAAATTTTCCTTTATCATGCATGGTAGGGTTTAGGCCTTGGGGAATCCTTTAACAGATTTGTAGTTAGAGATTTTATCCTAGTAGTTTGTAGAGGTTGATGTCATTGCTTTCCTCTTTGGCAAAAAATCTAGGACATCTCTAAGATTCATGGGGCTACTCCCATTTTATAAATATAAATGAATTTCTGGGATTGAGCTGTAAATAGGAGAGCAATCAGCAGAGTTCCAGAAGATATGGACTGTAATTCACAGCTCAGAGCATGAACCACAGAGAATGTAAATATAAGGGAAAGCCAACCTGCAGTTCTCACTCAGGGGAAGTGGTACTGCATGGTTGGGGAAGCAAGGAAGAGTAAATTTCTTTCTCGTCCTATATAGAACAGTCTGATGCATGATTTTATCCAAAGGCAATTAAAAGAACATATGTTTCTGTTGATTTCAACAAACTTTGAATCAGCTCCTGCAAAGATAAACGTGCTTTTCAAATCAATGGGATTTTGGAGGTCAGATTGTGACAGAAGGGGAAAAGACTCAGACCTGGATTGTTCTAAATATAAGGAGAAATATGTATTTCTGAAGTAATACTTGTGCAACAGGAACACACGTTATTTCTTTTCTTGTAGATACTGTGCTGCCTGAGTAGTGTCTCCTGTACCACAGCTCACTTAATTGTTTTGTTTTTCTCAAGTCAAAAATCTACTTTTTCTTGTGGGAGGAACACTCTTTCTGTATTGTCTTGTGTCTTTTGCTATGTAATATGAGTTCATGTATTTCCTTGTGAAATTATTAAACTGTTACTGCTATCTTCAAAAAATAAGCAGACTACAGCCCACCTCAAGGATATAACCTTGCAAAGCCTTTAATTTCTGAAAGCACAGCAGGAAATGGAACATGGAAGATCACACTCAGCATGTCAGAGGGTGAAATTCTTATGGGAAAGCTATCATAAAACCTCTAGGGATAACTCACTGCAACATATATTTCCAAATGAACTATTTATTTATTTATTTATTTATTTTTCAGTAGGACTTTCCTCTTTGCCTACTTTTGTACTTGTATTAAATTGCTTTTTTCAAGGGATGTCCTTTCAGCAAGAATCAGAGGACAATAATACAATCCCAACTTTGTTCTCTTGCCAGTTTTTTTCATAGCCATGCATTAAATTGTGTATTTGGAAAAATGATCTAATACATGATGGAATGTATCTCAATTTAACTTACTCACTGTCTGTGGATAAATTTTCAAAAGCTACTAGGTGATTCAGGATCCTAAACTCTACTTTCAATTAAAAAATATGGAGTTTTTATGAATATAAGGAGGCTTAACTGTTCTAGACTGAAATAGTGCTAAGCAAGTGGATACTCTCACAGAATCTCTCATTTCTGTAGATAGCCATAAAAATCAATCCACACGAGGTCTAGAAAATAAGGTATAGTCTTTTAAATCTGCATTCTTACTAAATAAAGCCAAAGGACAAGTTCAAGCACAGACCTGTATTCACTGTACTGCTTAAGGCTGGCATTGGCTTTACCACGGTGTGCTGATTAGCATCCTCCCCAGCAATGCCATGGCAGTTGAAACCTGAGAGAAGGAATGGTCCAGGCTGGTTCTGAGCCTGAGAGAAAGCTTTGGCAATGGTGACTGAAGTTGCATGGCTGTGAGAAGGGAGTTTGCCAGCAATGAAGAAGGAACAGGCTCAATCCTTGTCACTGTATGTGCTGTTCTTAATAAAAAATGTTTTAAATAATGTCAAACCTTACATACTGGAACAAATCCTAACCTCAAGCTCTTAACTTTCATGATAGATAGAATATCTGTCAAGCTGGAAATTTATAGGAATGAGCTATGAAGGAAGATTGTAGAGCAACTTTGTTGCAAATCTTAACTTTCTCCCAGAGCGCTACAAAGATATTATCACATTTCTTTCTTCACAGTTTGTGTTATGGCTCCACCTGGCACAAAATACAGGGATTGCTTTGTGTTAAAAAACAGCAGCCAGCAGTTCAAATGTAAAACTGTGTGATCAACTGGATTGTCAACTTCTTCTTATAATTACCTGTACTGCCACAGTAAAACATCTAGGTGCCGCTGCCTCCATATTAAAAAGAGAAGCTTTCTCAGACTCAGATTAGAGACAAAGTGTAAGGTGCTGGATGCAGACAGCCATGGAAAAGAAAGCAGACATAGTGGGTCATGAGCATGACTGACCTTGCAGATAAGTGTTGCTTGTCTTACTCCCCCCAAAAATGGAAGGGAGAAATTTGAAGGTGACCTGGGAGACAGGTTTATGAGTTGTCTTCAAGCAGTATATGTGAGAATCATGAAGGAATAAAGCACAAATGCGTATATAAGCAAAAGAAACAGCTGAATTGATTAGGTAGTCAGTATGGGTCTAACAGAATTGAAAGCCAACTCTAGCAGTAAATGGGAGAGACTGCGAAAGTTTTCAGGGGTTTTCTCGGAGTAGCAGTATTCTGGACCCAAAAAGAGGATGAGAAGACATTTTTCAAAACCACAGAAAAGAATGCTGCAGCAGTGAGTTTGCACAAGGGTTTCAGCTATGCGAATGAGTTAAAAAAGTCACTTCTGAGAAATAATGAGCTGCAGGGGTCATCTGGCATCTAGAAAATCTGCCTTTATTACAAGAAAAATAAATACGAGGTGTAGGATTTACTGTTCACCAGAAGCTGTGGACTCTGATTACAAGCCCTATACAAGGTATTTTAGTCTAGAAAAAGGAGCACAGCTAAAGCACTTGCTAGTGGCTTTCTTCAACAGCAGCTCTGTGAATATTTCCCAGAGAAATTAAGTGCTAGTCGAACATGGACTCCCAGCCCACAAGGCAGAAGCTCAGGCTCAGTACCAGAAGCAGCCACCCATCTCCAATCACAGCAGAGCAGAGAGCTGGCAGCAGTATTTTGCTTACACTTCTCTCTCTCATTTTTGTACCTGATTCTTCTTTTTCTATGCACAAATTAAATATTCTTTGATTTTGTTGAAGGAAACGCAGCAAGCAGTGAATACAGCCTATACTCTGAATACTCAAGATTATTCCATGATAGCCAGTGGAGGGCACCCTAGACTTACTGTTGAAAGTCCTTTATATTGATAAGAGTAATACTATTTTATTCACCATAGCAAATTTAACCTCACACAGATATTTGTGTCTTGAACTGAAGAGCTAGCCTGCGTATTAGGTCATTTATTTCTCCCTTCACTCCAGATTTGATTTCCTTGTCTTGTAAAATATCCAAAGTGATAATACTCCCATGAGTGGGGCAGGGATTGAAGAGGTAAAATTCTTTGCAGATGTACCAGTCTCATCATGAGAAGCATTCTGATTTATAGTGATGCTTTTGAAAAAATGAGGTACAGGTGACCAAATGCTGCTTTTGGTTGAGAAGAAGCACTGAGCAACCTGATATCCGGTTGATTTTACAAGTGTTCTCACAGAAAACCTGATTTCTAAAAGAATATAGATTGACTATGTAGCTTACAAAGAAGACCAAATTTCTAAAGTGGTCTATACCAATAGCGTCTGTTATTGTATTATACGCAGATAGTTCCTATTTTTAAAAAGAAAAAAAAAATAGTTATTTTCCTATATTATTGGATTTTTTTATGACTGAATTTTGCAGTCTCAAATATATGATGAAAAAAAAAGGTTGAAATGCATCTTTGTGCATGGGTGTTAAGGCATGTCTTCACCTCTCCAGGAATGCTGGCAGGTGAAGAAACAGAAAAGACCTTGTATGTGTTTGTAAAAGCCATTTGATGATAGAATTCAAAAATTACACAGTTTTTAAGTAGTTTGTGTTTGTAGACTTGTTAGTGCAAGAAATAAAAAGTATTATTATTTTATCCAACATCAAACATCTCTTTTCTTATGCAGTCGTCTTTTCCTTACTGTCTTATAAAAACAATCCATTTCCCCTCTAACATAGTTTCTGTTATCAAAATGTCTGAGAGAAAGAAGAAAAAAACTGCAGGAGTTTTTCTTCAAAGCTTGCATATATTGATTTGTAGGTAGGTTTTGGTGTGGGCATAAAACTAATAGAAACTGAATGTACATAATTATGAGTAGTAGCAGTACAAATGGGTGAAATGAAACAAATTAGCAAGTTGTAGGTAGTTTTCAATGGAGAATAGGTGGGAGCAGGACTAAGGAAAATGAAGATGAAGGAGAAGCACTTTTGTAGAGAGAGAAAAATGAACAAAGAGTAGGAAGTAGGAGAGTGAAGAAGAAAATGACCCTTTGAAGAACTTGGGAAGCACACACCAGAAGCAAATGCTAAGCTGCCCAGTGTGCTTTCACACTTTCAAACAAGATTGAGCTTGTTCAATTCTAAGTCAAATTTCCTTTCAACTTCTAAATGTCACTAGACATATAGAAAAAAACACAAGTCTACAGTGACCAAAATCTTATTGTATGAAAATCAACTGAACTTACACTCTTATTTAAGCATCTAGAGAAGTGTCCTGCTTTTCAGGGTTTCTGAGGAGCTGGATAGAGCTCTCAAGATTTCAAGATGAATAGACAGCTCTCCTGATACACACAGAGAAACCTGCAGATTTGTTGTATTTCTTCCCTCCTATTCTTCCTAACTTCTTGGTCTCCTTCTTTCTTTCAGTGCCCAAGCAAAACCTATGATCCACTTATAAAATCTACCAGAGATTTTCCCGATGAAGTCATTAGCTTTATAAAGCGCCATCCCCTGATGTACAAATCCGTTTACCCGCTGACGGGAGGACCAGTGTTCACGCGAATCAATGTGGACTATCGCCTGACTCAGATTGTGGTGGATCATGTCATGGCAGAGGATGGGCAATATGATGTTATTTTCCTAGGAACAGGTAGGAGAGGACTTCCACTATTCTTCTGCACAGGTTCCTCCTCTAAAAGCTCTTCTGCTCCAGTAGGTCCCGAATAAACCTGTTGATTAACATCTTTTTCCTAAGCTTGCAGCTTCAGGAAGCATTTAGATGCCCTTGCTTGTGTGATAGGACTTCATAAAACTACTACAATCGGATTAATTTGTCATCTCAGACATTTATACTGAAATTAAGACTAAAATTAAGATTTTAATGGCTCGTGGCCCCAAGGTGATAACCCAGTTATGGGTCAGAATAGCTAGATTTTCTTACCCTCTGAGTTCTGTTCAGTGCTGCTCTTTATATTACGTGGTGATCTGGCTCCAATTCCCACTGGCAGCACATCAGTAGACAATTAAAAGAACAAAAATAACCTTAATAACCTTGAGGATTAATTTCTGTTATCAGCAGTGACATGGTGCATCAGCATTAAATATCTTCTGACACTGCAAAGCTAAGAAAGATTTCAGATGCAGCCTAAAGCAATGATTTCACTTAAATGTATTTAAGAATATTACTTTGCAACATGAGTAGCTCCAAAGAAAAGGGAGAAGGAACAGAGAGGGACTAAAGTACTCTGTCAGGGGAGAAACATGACTTGCACTTTATCTGTGGATAATTATGTACATATTTACATTTTCTTATAACTATGTGCTGTAAGGAAAATAAGTTTGGTTTTAACGTAGTATTTAAATTTAAAATCACTGAACGGATCATCTTACAGTATATATGATATGCTAAGAATTATTAAGGTATCTATTCATAACACTTCTAAAGTATAATCCCTGTTCTTATTCCAGTGAAATTTCATGTTCTTAATCCACAGTTTGAAGTTCCCTAAATAGTAATAGCTCTGATAAAGCATTTTGCACCATTAGATCCAAATACTTCACTAAGGAGGTCATTGCCATTATCCTTATCTCACAATAAATGAAACAGAGGTACATGGAGAGGAAAACATTTGTCCTAGGGCAGTGAGTGAGCTTCTGAAATGAGAAACTAAATCTCTGTTTCAATCCTACCCCAGTGCTGTTGAACTATACAGCATTTTTTTCTGGCCTATCAGCAAATTTGTTATCAGAGTGTAGTTTGATAACTATGGGTACTCTGAAGTGATCTGGGAAAGGGAGTGAATTGTCATAAGGCATCACCTCTTATGAAGTGTGTGCTATCTCAGCCTTCCCACCTGCATCATCACACACACAAGCTCAGAGAAAGCCTCTCCTGAAGCATTTATGTATTTCAGCTCAATTCTCCTCACAACTCTATCTTCCAAAAGAAGGAGGTGTGAGAGTGACCTACAATCCCCATAAGGCATAGATAGAAAAACACCATTTCATAGAATAGAACATGAATGTGGCCTCTACTCCAAGTCTGCCTGGGAAGGTCAGGAATAAAATTTGCAGAAAATCCTTAGTGCTTTATGAATGCAGTCTTTAATATGGCCATCGGAGAAGGAAAATGAACACATTCCCAAGATGTGAGATGCCTAGAATTTGAAAGTACCCACTAAAGCTTACTTATTTTGGTGATAGTAGGGAAGAAAAATAATTTAAAATGTAAGCTATCAGAAAATATGTGTTCACTTGTTAAAAAGCATGAGATATTTCTGCACTGATTGCAGAGATGTTTTCAAATGTTTTCTGTTCTCTGCTATTAAGTTTGTCAAAGCAATACAATTATATTAAGAGACTAGCAACCAAAATACTGACAAATTACCTGTCTCTACCCAGCACTGATAACAACTAATTTTTCACAGTAATTGGAAGGTCCCAGTGTATACCATGCAGTCACTAGATGGCACTCTATGATATGCAGATACTTATTTATCTGCAGTGCCTTCCTTAAAAGGAGTTTTCCAGGGACACAACATTTTGTTCCATTTTATCCTCTAAATTTGTCTTATTGAAAAAAAAAAAAAAAAAGAAAAAAAAAGAAAACTAGACTCAAAGATAAAATTTCAATATCATATAGAAAGATGGAATACAGATATATCAAATAACCCCTAAGATGTTTAGCAGCAGCTAAAAAGGAAACTTACTACATGTTCGAATGTATGCAATCATATTATTGCAGAATTTAGGAAGACAGGCAGTTCTGCCTATGCAAACATATTGCCGGGCTCTGTATGTACACAAGCTTTGGTAATGATATCCAAAACAAAACTGTGTCTAATGTATAAGGCAAACTAAAATAATTTTAACTTTGATTGGCAATATGATCTCTTGTGGTTTGGAAAAACAAGAATGAAAGTCTCACTCTTTGTATTACAGTGTATTATTTTCCATCTTTTCAGTATTAGAGATAGTGCTTAGGATTAAGCTGTGTTGTGTCACTTCCACATTGACCATTACAGAGAGAGACCATTGACAATGACCATTCTCAGAGAGTGGTCGGGCACTGGAATGGCCTGCCAAGGGAGGTGGTAGAGTCACCGTCCCTGGCGGTGGTAAGAGGCTTCTGGATGAGGAGCTGCAAGATATGGTTTAGTAGCTTGTGGTAGCAGTGGTAATGTGAAGACGGTTGGACTCGATGATCTTATAGGTCATTTCCAACCTTGTGATTCTATGATTCTATGATTCTACAATTCTACAGCACCCAGCTGCCTTTCCTCAGCACTTTTTAAGGTTTTGGTGTTGTTTTTTTCTTCTTCTTCTTTTTTTTTTTAAATTATTATTATTATTATTATTATTATTATTAAAGTCAATAAAGGTTCACTAATGTGCAATAATCTGAGATAAGCTGTATTTTTATTTGGTTTTTTTTTTATGTGTTAAGAATGCAGATTGAAATTAACGAATAGACAAAATTCAAAAAATTCTCCTGATAATGCCAAAGAAGTGAATTCTACAATGTTTAAATTAAAAATGTTGATATTGAGTGGAGATATGCAAAAATCTCCCTAAAATCAAAAGAAAAAAATGAAAAAAAAATATGTTTCTTATTTTCCCATATTAAGATGAAATCTATTTCTGATTAAGGAGCTATGCTGATGAAAATTAATTCTATTAAAAATAAATTTAATCCTCATTAGATTGGGTCAGATAGGCCACAATTCCAGCTAAAGTAAACGTGCAGAAAATTCCATCTGAGATCATGAATGTGTTTGCATGTATATTTGTATAGCAGCAAAGTTAGATCACCTATGCCAAGCACAACAATGCACAGTTGCATTGGCTCAGACATGCAGTAAACATATTGTATAGAACTATGTAGAAAGTAAAAGATGCATATAAGGGTAGATGTCATTTGAAGGCTGCATCCTTGATGGATTAATACTATCTTCCTCACATAGTTTTTGATGTTATTTTTCTTTTTTATCTAAGTTTACAAAATCATTTTGTTTGTTTTTTACATACATATACAAGCTGAATAGAATCATAGAATCCTAGAATAACTTGAGCTGGACAGATGTATAAGGATCATGGAGTCCAACTCTGAATGCTTGAGTCCAACTGTGAAATGAAGTAAAAAATGAAGTAGCTGAGATGTAACAGCATGTTTCATATGGTGAATGTTGTGAATGTTTGTTTCAGACATAGGCACAGTACTGAAAGCAGTGAGTATCACCAAGGAGAAGTGGAGTAAGGAAGAGGTGGTCCTGGAAGAGCTACAGATATTCAAGGTAAGCATTAACAGCCACTACATCAATTACTCAGGAGACTTAAAGGCTCAGAATGCCTTTATCTCTATGACTGCTTGCTCAGCGGAACTAGTTCAAGATTCCAGAAGGACAATATGTCAATTTTTAAATGCCTTGATATTCTCTAAGAAAGTCAATTGGAGAAAATAACAGAAACAAAAGAACAAGATTTTTCAAACTCATAGAAAGTCTCAATTTTCCTGTCTTGTTCTACTTTGCAATCCTATTTTGAGCCTAACCTACTTATTATTATTTTATTTTTAATGGTGATATTCCTGTTATCTCAGCTTTGGAATTATTCTTCACACAATTATAATTTAAAAACCAACCAAGCAAGAAAAAACACAGATGTAGAAAAAATATTTTAAATAAACAACTTTAGGAGTTGAGAACTAAAAGAAAATAAGTCAAACTAAGTTTTGATTATCGATGTATTTTAATCCTTTGATGTGGGCTGACTCAGCACTTTTGACCATTTTGATTTGGTTATTCTGGCTGAGTGATAGTGAAGAAAAGTCACTCGAGCCCTGCTAATGCCAATGGCTTCTTCATAAAGAGAACTTGTGAAAAACCGAAACTTCCTTTCTGCTGCATATGCATAATTTCTCATTGACCTCATTGCTTGCAGGGAAGCTAACACAGAACATATCATAACAGTAGAAAAACTGAGATGTGTGCCTTCACAACTGATTTTCTTTTCCATTTGGAAACAACTTCTTCGTTCTTTGTATTCTTACATTGCTTTGCATTCTCTCTCCTATATGCTTTACAAGGTCATTATAAGAGTTTGTTCCCATGCTGAATAAATGAATTTGAGACTTAGAGACAGTGTTTTCCAACCATGAGGACAATATTTTTACTGTGCCTTTTGATATGTCATGAGTATGATAAATTTTTGATTTCAATGTTCTCCTTGGAGAAGAAGAATGCCTTCTTCTAAATGTATTGGACACCAATTATAAATTTTGCTCTGAAAATACCAAGATTACTTAATGGCAGGCCAAGTAATCAGGACATCCAGTATGCATGCCCTTTTGGTGCATTTTTAAAACACGACATCAAGGGGAAAATGTACCATATAATATTAAAAAAAAAAAAAAAAAAGTTTTTTTTTCTACTCAGCAGACATTTCTTCACATTTTTATTGGTAACATTTACGTTACCTCTATGTTTTTGAATCCAGAAAATTGAAGGGGATGAGGGGCTGAAAAAACATCTCTTATTTCCTAGAACCACATTAGTGTTAAACAATAGGTTTAGATTAGTCATCCCCTATTAGGAGATAGATAAAACTCTGAGCTTTGTCCCGTTTCTTACATCAGTCACTGCCAAAACATTCACTTTTATAGAAGTGAAATGCATCCTGGTGCAGAGGATCTGTGTATGTATCCCTTAAATGCCATCAAAATCTTTCAAATAGTGTTTAAGTTGATTCAAGGGCTTGTTGCCAGTAGGTTGGGTGGATTGCAAATTCTAAGAATTAAAGACAAAAAAATTATGGGAGGCATTCCTGGAGGCATGAATTTAATGAGTTTTGTTGTTTGATTTGTTTATTTTCTTTTTGTTTAATCCAAGTAAATCAATCTGCAATTTTGTATACCTTTCAGAAATGTTAAGTTCTGTTCTCATTTTATTAACAATAAGAAAGGTGTGAACTAATGCACTTTCCTAATTTGCTTTTCAGCATCCTTCATTTATCTCAACCATGGAGATTTCTCAGAAGCAGGTAATCACAAACACATTTAATTACTGCAGGATATATGTGACACTGAACAGTAAGCTTGTTAATTTTTAGGTGTCCTCTGTTACTTATTGGCCAAACTTTCCATGGGTAACTCTTAAAACTTGTCTGGAAAGAAGGGGACATGTTAGAGCTTGTTTCCCTGCCTAATTCACATTTGCTTACAAACAGTAATTTGTGTACCCAAGCTGGTAATAATTCATGGAAACAAATCTTTAGTCATATGGTTGTGGGATTTGTGAATGAACTCACTGCACATTTGTTTTCTGAACACTAGAAATGCTTGTCTCTTTACAATCTAGCAATAAATTATTAGTAGTATTATTGTTGTTATTTTTATGTATTAGCAGTCAAGAGAGCTCAGGGCCTCATTCTACTTAACATTGTATGTGCAAAGCCTGCAAACAGGCCCCCCTCTAAATTTGAATCGGGGTGGTCCCTCCTGGTGGGTCCAGTCCCAGCTGGGACTCTCCCTATGGGAAAGGGCTTCAGGGCAGCTCCAAGCCCTGAGATGGCTCTGTGTAAGCTTGGGAGGCATCCACAGAGGTGGCTTCAGCACTGTGTGCCAAATACAGGAGGTATTTTGCCATGCAGGCATGCAGAGAACAGCTGGGTCCTGTCTTCCCTGAAAAAAAGGTGGCAAGCCAGCTGGAAGTATAGCATTGAGCCAGCTCTGGCTCAGCAATAAGCACTTGGACCACCCTTGTCTCAATTGGCTATCCACTCACACACCGTGAAGAGGTGAATAATATTGTCCCTGTACTACCTAAGCATCAGAAGTGGAAGACGATATTTTATTCACGCAAAGTCATCTCTAGTTCCCAGATTCATAACATCATGGCTAGCCAGCCCCTTTAAAAAAAAAAAAAAAAATCGTGTTTATAAGCCCCTCTCACCATGCACTGCTTCTGTGGTTTTACTTTTGACACAGCACAAAGCCAAAAGTGTAAGGGTGTTGAGTGCTGATGTCTTTCCAAGACAGCAGTGCCTTTGTCATTAGGGTTTGCTGGGGACTGCCCAATTCACACTGAGCCCTGAGAAACAGTTTACAGTACAGGAGAAATTCTCTTTTTTAAAACTCTGTGGCAAGGATGAAAGTCTGCAAGTGTGGCACTGAAGAAGAAGCGGGCTACTTGGAGAATGATTCTAATTCATTTGCTTTGCCTGATTTGCAGCAACAATTGTACATTGGTTCCAGGGATGGATTGGTTCAGCTCTCTCTGCACAGATGTCACACGTATGGGAAGGCTTGTGCAGACTGCTGCCTTGCCAGAGACCCATACTGTGCCTGGGATGGAAACTCCTGTTCCAGATACGCCCCCACTTCTAAAAGGTAAGAAAAAAGTTCCACATGCTGAAAAAGATCTTGTTGCTTGCAAGAATTGTAGAGGTTCGCAGTAAGAATGTACCACTTTTTGTAATTAAGTTTTTTCTTTTAACTACTTTAACCCACCATGTCATTAGCCTTAAAATTTGATCAAACTCTGGCCATGTTTCACATTTTCTGCTCGAAGAGATGTGAAAACAACATAGCATTGTTTAAGTGTGTGTGGCAGTGACTTGACTTTTTCAACTAAGATAGTAAATCCAACACTTCCCTTTTTTATGCTGAATGCTTTAATTCATGAGATACTCCGGTCGAGTACCAAGTTGTGACAGTGGAAGAGAGACATGAGAACCTCTCTTAAACTTTTGCTTTTAGTACAGTGCACAACTGCATTTATAAAGCAGTTTGCCTTACTATCAGTCTTGTATTCTAGAGTGCAGTCAACTCAGTAAAAGAAATGCATTTTGCTCTGTGATCTAAACAAACTTTTCCTATCTGATTTGACTAACTCTAATAAAGCAGCTCACTCTCTCAAGTCGTATTTGTTGTCTGAGCCACAAGAGGGAGACAGAGATTTAAGCAGTGCAACTGGGCCATGCCAGGAGCAGTTTTTCCACAGTGACAGAAGCTATGTCTGAACTTTCTGTCCACATCATCTAGAGCAGCAGCATGGATCTGCATGGAAAAAGAGTGTGCTGCAGGATCTGGTGTTGCAGTACCTAAGCTGTTGGTTCAGCTTGGGATGTGCCTGCTGGAATTTTGGGTTGATTTAGCCAGAGTTCTGAGCCAGCTCATTGAACTAGAGTCCACAGCCTCCTCATTCCTCTTTGCATGAAGCCTTCCTGACAATAATTCTTGTAGAGAGGGTCAGAGGTTGCAGGCTGAACTCAGGCTCTGGAACGAGACTTTTTTCCTCAGGGGCTGCAGCACTGGAACCTGAGCAATTAGACAAAGCATTGAAGTTAATGAGTCATGGGTTATTGTGTCATGGTGTCAAGGAACTTTATGTGTTTTTCCTCAAAGCCAAAGCAAACTTAATTCAGAGAAGCATAAATGAAAGGAGAAAAGCAAGTGTTCAGGCTCACTGCAAAGTTAGTCACTCGTGAGACTTGCTGAAGCCTGAGGTGGGCCGGGACACAGAGATTGATGGTCCACAGTTTTCAGCAGATGTTCATTTGGTGGGTTTGGTGGGTAGGCCAAAAGTCTGTGACTCCAAAACAAGGGATGTGTGACTAGCCTTGGGAATCCTCCAGTAGATCAGTTGGATATTTGTCTTCCACTGAGCAGGTTTTGCTTCCATCATGCCTACAGATTTTACCACAGCTTGGCCTTCGGAAGCCATTCTGCTGAGGCATCACTCTGTAGATGTGAGGGCCTGCTTCAGTGTCACCATGAGAAAGGGATTTCCTCCCTGTGTCTCCAATTGTTCTACTGAAATATTAAAAACCTATGTTTATACCTCTTGGGTGATAAATACAATCATCTACAGATGAAAAGTTGTGGTTTTTTTTAAATATTATTACACAAAATCACAATGAGTTTAAGTAACACAGAGATATTACTAAGCAAGTAATACTAAGTAATACTAAGTTTACTGTGATATTGTCTCAGATCATTGACTTAAGCTCTTTTTCAATCCATACAGATGAAAGATAGTCAGATTTAGTTTATTTATTTAGTTAGTTAGTTAGTTAGTTAGTTACCAAAGTAAAATATAAGTTTTCTACCTTCATTTTAGTGGTTGATTTACTGGCCAGTATCATCTTGAGCTGATGCTGGGCTCAAGTTTTATTATGACCTGCTGGAGCTTAGATCTTTTTCATGGCATGGAGCATGAAAGATTTTTCCAGACATTTACAATACTGTCCACCCACCAGGACACCCATATTTGGAGTAGAGTCTCAGAGCAAGTTTAACTAGACTCTTAAAGCAGGTTTTTCCTCTCACTACATGGCACATTATTTATTCTAGGAAGACTTTTTTCTCTCTTTTGTTTTTTTTTTCTCCCTTTCCCCTCCCAGTGGTTTTCCCAAATCACAGGCCTTTTCTCTTGATGTCAATTGTACAAATCTCTCTAGGCCACATGCCGCTTTGAGGGTGAAGCTGGTTTTAGTTAAGACTGTAATTGGCAGCAGTAGGGTGGGAGCAATGCGCCTCCACATCTGCTGAACTCCTCTGTATTTTGCTGTTGAATTCCAGCAATTATGCCTGAAGTGTTACAAGTTTTCATGCTTTTCCCATAGGAGAGCCAGAAGGCAAGATGTCAAATATGGAGACCCTGTCGCACAGTGCTGGGATGTGGAAGACAGTGAGTACTTTGGATCATTAAAATAGCTGTCTTTACTGTGCTTCAGATGCATTTCTCAACCCACACTTAAACTTCTAGGGCCGGGATAGTTAGGGGAAAGCCAGATCAGGTCAGTACCCATGGATCCCCTGTGGGCCACCATCTCCAGCACCCAACCAGGGGAAGAAAAATCTTTCACACATCACCCCGAGCAGCCACCAGCACTTCTGTTAATACAGAAATAGGGGGGATAATCTCACGGGGAAACCCTCAGGTATGACAGCAGAACACACTTTCTTTTCCCCTTTACCCACATGGATGCAAGTCCCAAGACCCAACTCCGGCTGCCAAAGCAGCCACTTCCTCTCTCCGTGGCCGCTTAAGTACTCCTGTTATTAACAAGAGCATACACTCCCTCCTGTCAGTTCCCCCCTCCTTTTCCCACACCCTCTTTTCAGATGCCAAGGAGTCTGGCTTGCTCCTTTGGCAGCTGCAGCAGTTCCCTTGCTGTGTGCACTGTCAGTATGAAATCCTGAGGTTATGCAGCGATCTCTGCGGCAGCGTAAAATAAATGAAAAGCATTCAAAACCAAGTTTGGGTTTGTCTGGAGCTCTCACAGTCACTTATTAAAGTGAACAACCCAGTCAAAACAGTATTGATAGTATCGTTGCGCTCAAATTTTGATTTGGGAAAAGCCACCACTTTCTATTGATCTCTGGTGACTTTCATGCTGTGGTGGTGCTGGATGCCTGCCGCAGATCTCGGCATGAGCCCCTGCAGAAATCAGAGCTGCTCACCACAGGATCAAAGCCTAAGTCTGCTGCACAGTATAGAGGACTCTGACTGTACATGTGTACATGCAGACATAGTAAAAAAAGTCTCATTTGCATTAAAGTAAATGGCAAAACTCCTGTTCATTCCCAAAGGCCAGAATTTCTCCTCTTTCTGCTTTACAAATAGAGGTATCTGAGACTGTGCAAAGCTCAAGGTTACAGAAATGCTAGTAGGAATGGCTGACAATGTCATAGTTTCCTGGAAGGATAATGAGATACTGGAAGAGACAATTTTCCTAGACAATGCAAAATGTCTTTGCATGTAAATTGGTATTAATCCTTTGCCATGATATAGCAAACCCAACAGAAATTTTAACCAGCTGGGGACAACCCCTGTGCGCCGTAAAATCATAAAGTTGACCTGTGCCACTTCAGGTTCTTGGCTTATTTATGCTGTTTGTGATAATTAACATTATGCCCAAAAACCTACTTAAATTCAGTTCTCCACTACGTAAGATTCTCAGAGACTGCTTTGGCTGCATGAAATTATTTGGCTCTACAGAAATCTCTGTGGCACAGTGAAATGAAAGAAAAGCATTTAATGCGGAGAGCTTGAATTTCTGTAGCACTCATACATGTTTGTACTATATAGGAAAAAAAAAAAAAAATCAATCCAAAACTGTATCCATTTTATTGTTGAGATAACTTTTGATTTAGGAGACACACTGCTTTCACCTTCCTCTGTGTTATTTGCAGGGTGTAAGAAACAGCTTTTGTCTGATGATAAGGCAGATAAGACATGAATAAGGAAAGAGAGATGGACTGGCAGAGATTAGAAATGCTCAGGTCTACCAACTGTCAGGAAAGAATGCAGATCTGCTTGTGTACTTCAGTGTTTGGTCTGAAACATGTTAACGTGGAATTTCAAACTATGTTGAAGAGAGGCAAACTTGACTTTAACCCTGCAATTCCTTTAAAGTGTTTAGGAGGAACAAACCAGACCTTACAATCTACCTTTAGCAGTTGCTCCATCTCTCTCAGGTTTACTAGTTGCATTACATAAAGGAAAAATACAGGTCAGATTTTAAATTTCTCAAATGTAAAAGCCTCCACTTTAAAATGGAGCAAGCTCACTATATAGATTTTATTGACCTCCTTAAAAAACAGTTGCACTGGAAGAAGGTTAGCAGCTGCCTCTAAATCCTCGTAGTTATAGTTTAAGCTAAAAGTTAAGTTTCCTTTTGCTTTTTTATAATTCACTCACTCTTATAGCATCTGTTCTGAATCAGGCTATTTTCCCATTGCTTTAAAAACCAGGTCAGGGTTAATCTCCTGTACCATGTTTGCTTTCCAGGCATTAGTCATGAAACTGCTGATGAAAAGGTGATTTTTGGCATTGAATTTAATTCAACTTTTCTGGAATGTATTCCTAAGTCCCAGCAAGCCTCTATTAGGTGGTATATTCAACGCACTGGAGAAGAGCATCGAGAAGAGGTAAGTTATAGTCATCAAGGCAAGTTTCCTCTATAGAGAATTCAGCTGAGCATTGAAAGGCAGGAGTTACTGGAATTAGCTGATGTTTTACTTTTCTTTGCCTCACCTTAGGTATCACATAGCATTCTGGTATCACCATTTGGGGCATGCAGTGGGGAAGAGAAAAGCCATTTCCACTGGATCATAAGCAGATTTAGATGCTTATTTTGACTTCCATGCACCTTCCATTAAAGAAAGAAAGAAAGAAAGAGAGAGAGAAAGAAAAGAAAGAAGAGTAATTAGGCTTTTATCAGTGGTAAAAAACAACCCTGAAAGTACTAAAAATAAATGAAGTCTTTTTGTTCAATAATTAGCTCAACTACTTCCACAGGTAAAAGTACGTGCAAAACCCTCTGCTTTAAATAAATCTCTATTCCATTTAGTGTCTGTCTGCTTTCCCTTACCGTGTTAAGCACTGCAGCTAAGAATCTCCTTGTATGGCTTGCTGTCTCTCCTGAGAAGGGATATGTTGTAAGAGCTTTTTTGTTTTTCTTTTTTTCTTGTTGAGTGTGAAGATTTTTCTGGAATGGTACTCTGCGCTGAAGCAGAGATGTCAAGTTAAAAAACTGAACCTTCCACCCAAAGTAGAAATCAGTGAGATCTGTGATAGCCTTTAACTCCTGCAGGAGGCAGTTTTGGAGTCCTCACTGGTGGAGAAGCTCTGGAAAAACAATCCAAGTCCCTTCTTGGACCTTTGAACAATGTCCTGAAGATTCTTTTCTGAGCTAATAACAAAGGGGCCCTCCTACATGCCTAAAAGGTCAACAGACTGGGACTGATCTGGACTGGGTTTGAGTGAATTTCAAACCTTTACAGCCTTTCTCGTACATGAATGGTTTTGTGACTGAGGCCAAATACTGCTGTGATTGCAACCATGGCAACGGGGAAGGAGATGGGAAAAGAACTGCCCTTTCAAATGAGCTCCTCCCGGGTATTAGACACGCTTTTCTGTTAAATGTTCATCTGAGACAAAATTAGTTTAAATGAGAGGAACTATCAAACACACAACCAATCTTGCACTCTTAGTGATAACTTGTCCCATGAGGTTTTCTGAGTGTAGAAAGCTGGGGAGAGATAGGTGAAGGCAGGTTCTCATGGGAGCATCCCCTCTGGGTGAGAGCTAACTCGATGTCATTATCCCTAAGCATTGCCCAGAGCATGGAAAGAAGTGTCCAGAGAAGATGCCATCTCAAAGTGGAGACTTGGCCCAGGTTGCAAGAGTGTGCGGATATAAGGCACCTCTGATTTGTCTCCAGGTGAGACACAAAACACAAGGGTGTGTGTTGACTATGATGCAGCAGTGCTTTCAGTTTACACCCCTTCTATTACTCGTGCTTTGGGTTGGCAAAGATTCTTCCCTCTACTGAGAATAAATGTCTCATTAATTTACAGACACATACTTCCCACAAAATGCACTGAATATCAGAGGAAGGAGATTACTGGTTTGAAATACCATCTCTAACCTTCATTCCTCTCCACACTTGGAAAGAAATTGTGGTCTTTTGATCAGCAGGCCAACCATGCTCAGCCACAGATGGTTGAAGTGAAAACCCAGCTAGAAGTGTATCAGCCTTTAACGAGCTATGGGCATTCATGGTTTGTGCTTTAATTGATTTACCTTTAAGTGTCTTGTACAGAAGACTCAGTGCTCAACTTCCCTAAGGCAGACGTTTGCAAATGAAATTACATATTTGATCAGAGAAATGAGTAAAGAATTTGCTTAATTCTAACCATGTGTTGAAGACTCATTTTAAAATGCATTTAAGGAGGTACTTTATATATATGTATATATTATTGTTATTCTGAACAGTAACTTATGTCGAGTTTTGTGGAGACTCCATCAAGTTTTTGAAGTAATTTATTACGTCTATAGCATGTGTCCTCAGAGCTACAAACTTTGCTTGAAAAAGTCTCTGTGAAGAATGTAATATTTCTATATCACAAGAAGTACTTTGAAGATGTGAAAGCTTCTTACAAAGATCTGCTTCTGACTTACACCCATGTCAATTTAGGAAAAGAAAAGATCAGTTGATTTTCTCCTAAATCACAGGGTCAGGTATGCACCTGAAAGTCAGGAAGCTGAGTTCATGTTATCGTTCTCTTTTGCGTGATTGTAGAGCAAACTTCAGGTCAAACTGACTTTTGAACAATGTTACAGCAGGCTATAAGCCTATATAACATAGCTTAATTTAAGGCTATATCATTTTTTGCCACTATTCCTATTTCTAAAATGTTTGTTGTGACAATACTTGTACCCCTACTTTCCACATTTCCCCAAATACTGCTAAGTCAGACAGTGAAATTCCAATGCTGCAGAAGTGTCCAACTTGCCAAGGATGTGACCTAGAGAGGGAGTATGGGAATGTGTGCATATGTGTGGTGGCATTTGGTTCTCCAGCAAGCACACTGCATACATCTTTGCACATTAGCAGCCTTCCAAAGCAATGTTTACTGGGCTTGCTCAGTGTAAACAGTCTGACATCTGTTTGTATGAGAAAAGTAAAGCTTTGCTAAAAGGCTAGATTAACCTTTGAGGCAAATTTAGAAGAAAATTTGAAGAAGAAATCTGCAGACAGATTTTCTACATTATAAATGCTAACAGTAGGCAAATAGCTTCTTACCACATATTGTCCCTAAAGCCATAGCAGTGTTTCTGTGATCAAGCTTTGATAAAATAAAAGTTGGAGCACATGTTCCGGAACTCCGTGGGGTGGTTTTGTTAGTTTATTTATATATATATATATATATATTTTTTTTTTTTTGCAGTCTTTGAAGACTACAGCTTGCATAAATGCATATGTACACATTGACAATTACAGGATCAGATCACTTAAAGACAGTGTACTGCCATTACTTTTGCTTAATTTTTGCCAGAGGAACTATTCCTGAGCAAACTCATCTTGTACACTTCAAATCACAATGTTGAGATATTTAAGTTTTGGAAGAAAAAGAAAAAAAATAGATCTTTTTTAAGTAAAGATATTCATCTGTGAATGTAATGTTTTCAAATGCATGTACCTGATGTTGAATTCCTAATTTCAGAGATGGCTGTCTAAATAAAAGACCTAATCTATAGAAATGCTAAGAAATCTCCTGTTGGAAGCACTAAGAGCATTTGCAGGTTAAAATGTTAAGCCCTTTTTAATTTGGGCATCTTTAAATTAAGGTTTTCAGTTTTTCTAATTTGAAATCCAGCTTATCAGTGGAAATGAGCTCATTGGTATTAGAACTTAATTTGGAGAGTTCCTGGAAAATTCAAAGATAGTCATAGTAATTTACTTTCTTTAGAAAAAAAAAAAAACACAACTTCAGTTTGACTGAAATAACATATGTGACAACAACAGGGTAGTCATATTTAACGTGTAGCTTGATCTTTGCTCAGCCAATGCCTCGCCATAACTTTTCCCATTACAATTATATTTTCTGCTCTCTCTCCCTTCCTGCAGCAGATTTCTCAAATAACACTGTGCATTATTTCAGTGCGTGTCTTAGTAGTGTAACTTATTGTGATGACGATACCATGCTTTGCAAATGACTCTGTGCACCTGGAACTTAGGTTACGGACTTTTAGTTCCAGGGCTGTAACTGCAATGTCTCAGCAAGTCTTTAAGCCTTGCTTTGCAAATAGACAGCTACGCACTACCCCTGACATGTACTACAGCTTCCTGAGGGAAGGAAAAGGGCAAAATTCAGACTAGATGGGAAGCACTGGGCCCAGCAGGATGTCTCTGACATTTCAACCTGTGGGTCATGGTTCAGTGTGTGACTTCCAGCCACAGCAACCTGTGGGGAGGGACAGGATCTCCTGTGGTACAGGAGCTGTCACCAGGTCATTTTGCTGCCAGTGGGAGTACATTTCCCTGTAGTTTGGGGCTGTTTTAAGGTCAGGAGTCAAATATCTAGTGCTTTTGTGTTTAGTGGTACTCACGTAATTGATCATGTTTGTTCCTGTGCTTGCAAGGTTAGTCACTGAGATGAAGGAGAGCATTTTGGCAACTGGAGTTCATAAAAAAAAAAAAAAAAAAAAAAGTGAATGCCATTTATTCATAATGTCTTAGAGTGCTGTAGTTTCCTGAAGCTTAAACTCTGATATTTATTTATTTTTCCTGGAATTCCTATGTATTAGGTATATAATAGGTGTCAGGACTAGAAAAAACAAGTGCAAGACTCCCTGCAAAGCCATTAGTTTTGGTGCCCTGTGGCTCTGGAAACTATTAGACCTCCTGCTTTAGGCTGGCCTTCACTCCGAGCCTCCTGGGGCTCCAGGCCTGCCAAGCTGCTGTACTTCCACACAGGGGACAGAGCAAACCATATGGTCTGAAGTGACAGAATAGACATGGATCACTTTTAGCTCTCTCTTTCCTCCTCTTTTCATAACTGGGGATGAAAATAAATCCACCAAAAGGCAGAAAAAACTTCCATCTTCTTCTTCAGCAGTTCTCACTTTTTCCCATATCTCTACCCCACCAATTGGGCTGTGTTTTTCCTGACAGACCCAACTTAACAACCATCTGATGTTTTGGCAGGTACACAAGTGTGACCCACCCTTGGACAAGACATCTAGTGGGGCATAAGAGTGTGACTTGGCTACCCACTGAAGCAATGTTTCCATTCCACATTTTAGCCAGACTAAGCTATTTTTCAGGTTATTCGGGATCTGTGTCCTGTTCACTTGACCTTAGTGGGAGTACATTGGTGAATGAGACATAAGTTTCCGTATCTTTGTACGGCTGGAGAATTTTGCATCACGATGATTTTGAGTTTCATTGTGACACACATCTGCTCAGCAGTATCTTGTGGTAAAAGACCATAGATTCATTGCCAGCCTTAAAGCCTAGAAGTCAAACAATAGCTAAGGAAGAGAACAGGCACGAAGATGTGAGTTTCCAGTAGTACCCTCTGTCAGAGGAATAAAGTTCAGTGTTTGTGCAGCAGACGCGTACTTAAGCCTTGGGTTGATAAGAAACAGATCATGAGAGAGAGAAAGAAAATAAATTTATTCTGCAGACTAGGGAATAATTATAACTCTCAAGCTTTCACTATTTTATTTTATTATGACTCATTTGCTTGTTTTTTTTTGTTGTTGTTTTTTTTTGGTTTTTGTTTTTTGTTTTAATAATACCTTGAGATTTTTAAGTAAGACTAATCTTTTTGACAGTTTCCTAAAGGAGAAAAAAAGATGTTACTCTGAACTGCTATATAAAGTGATATTTCTGCTTTGATTTGAATGTACTGGGGAATAAGAGTTTAAAAATTAGTCTTAGAATGAGAAGTTAACATCACCTTGAGAATAATAGGACTCATGTTTCCACCTTGTCATTGTACCAACAACACCCTCATCATTTTTCCTGTGGCTTCTAAGTAAAGAAAAAGAGATTTAAAAAAAATAAATAAATAGAGAAATTAACAGCTGTGTTGGAATTACATGATTAGTTTACCAGGAAAAGAGAAACAAAGTTACATAAAATAATGATTCCAGCAAAAACAGTAATTGTTATTTCCAATCAAATGGTAAGGATGAGGAAGACAATAGGAAAACAAAGTAAAATGTGAATTCTCAGCAAATGTTCCTTATTTTCCTTTCTCCTCCTCTCAATTAGTTCAGGGATTGCTGCTAACCCATGATTAGACCAGCTTTACCTCGAACATTTTTTTACATGGTGATTAATGAGGGAAGGCAGGCTTTGAAGCCACTTTCTTCTCCCAGACAGGTGCATTGTTTTAACTGTGAAGGAGTTGACATGTGAATTATTTGTAAAGAGGGAGCTATCTAAACACATCATTAGCAAAGGACAAAAGGCATTGACCTAAACTGGTGCCACAGCACTTTCAAATCCTTGGTTGTTTTCCAACTTACTGATTGTTTAAAGATTTGCCATCATTATTGGCAATGCCTGTTTTTCCTCTATTGTTAAATCAGTTTGTGAAAATTGAGTATTTGATTTACATGGAAATATTTTTCCTTTGTCAAATATTGCCAGTATATATAGCATGTGCTATACTTTATTTAGTGTGGTTTTAAGAAAACTGTTTATCATATACAATATACCATCAAAATACAGTCAAAAATCTGCTAAGAAAATCCACTAAGAAAAGGAAGTTAATAGTAATCAATTGCTTCATTTTTGTGGTTTACAACTGGTTCCCTATTGAACAAAACCATTTATCTCCAGTTTAATTTTTATTGTATGCTCAAATTTAAGCATGTCAGCAAGCTTTTATGAACAAAGCCTTTGTGCTTCTGAATTGTTAAGCCCTACTTATAAATATTTAAGGAGAGCTATTGATTATAACATATCTGGGGGGGAAAAATGGATCCACAGTTGACCAAAATAAAATGATGCATTTTATCTAACTAGCCTTTTTACCCTTCTCAAAATTTAATAAAATATGTTTTACATCTATAGCTCAGAAACCAAAGAGCACATTAAGCATTCAAGAGCAAGGTTAAAGATCTACTACCAAGTAATGAAATGCCAGGTGTTTATGAAACTCCAGAGCCCTGTGGGGGAAAAAGTAGAGAGGAAAGACAGGAAAAGTTCTGAACCTATGAGTAAAACAACATAAACAGGATACCAAAAAGAGAAGTGAGAGGGAAAACAATAACGAAGTGTTGCTTAATACGTGTGAAATCAGAGCCCTAATTTCATCCTACCAGAGGATAAGAAAGGAATGAACAATGAAGGCCCAAAGAAGAAGGTGACAGTCACCATAAATCAATATCCAAGGTTAACATAGGACACTGTGTAAGAATGCTGCTTCATTAAAAATAGGATTCCTGATGGGCTGGGATTAAGGGACGCAACCAATTCAGACTCTTAGCTTTCTCTGCAGTATCCCAGTGCAGGGGGGACAACTCCATCAGTTAATACGTTTACAACTCGAAAGGGACGGCTGCTACATAAATGGTAAACAGTCACGAGTAGCAGGGTGCTGGACTTGGGGGTCCAGTCATATTTTCAAGTCTAGATCTACCATTATTCTGCCTTCCTTTCACTGCAAATAGGCAAAGAACTATCAAGGGCTCTTTAAGCCTGGCGCCCAGCCAGCCAAAAGAGCCAGCTGGAGCACTTCCAAGTGTAGGAGGTGCACAGCTGTCAAGGCACTCTAGACTACAATACTGGCAGAGCCACGGCAGGCAGATGCTACTGCTGCAATTGCATTGAGCCCTCAGCTCAAAGAGATCCATCCTGTTTTCACTCAGACAATGTGGGAACTGGGTCTTTACACAGAGCTTTATGAAACCCAAATGTCTTCCAATTATCTTCACTTTTCCATCTTTTTCTTTAAATTCCTCAAGTATAGATCTGTAGGATTTTCCATTGTTGATAAGAAGTTTGGACAAAAAAAAAAAAAGAGTGGCTTCCTTGCCATATTTCAACAGTCAATCCAATGACTTCCTCCTGGCTGCTGCTCCTGCTTCTGGAGTACAGCACCACAAAGAATCACCTGCCCTAGACATATTTCTACCTACAGCTACTTATCCTTGGGTTCATTTATGCCTTTTATGCTCCTGCTTTTACTTTAACTGAGAGTACATTTACTTGGGATATATATAACCATCTGATAAAATTGAAGTCTCTGCTCTATGCTGTAGCTTCTCTGGGGGCAAAAAATGTTCTCTTCTGTCTCCCTACTATCTTCTATGTCTGCTCTTCTGTCTTGACCATGATTTCTCTGCTTGAAACTCAGTGTAGTAAATCAAAAATGGCTTGTGCTCATGCAGCACCTGTTGTCAGAAAATAATCTGTTTTCCAGGAATTTGCAGAAATTAGCATGATTCCACCCTGCTGGTGCCAGAAGACATAATTATATCCAATTTACAAACAAAGCTCAGGGTAGACCCAACACCATCAGCTGGTGGCAGGGGCCAAACAATACTTGTCCACAGGAGTAGGCAGCCACAGCTTTGTTCTGATACTGGTTTTCATAGTGTTTGATTTCTTCTTTCTGAGGCAGTCAGATCAGTGGTGCTGCACAGGCCTATATCTGTCTACTTACTTACATATCTACCTCTTACTTACCTATCTACCTAAACTAAAGATTACTGAAGACAGCTGTAGCTGATGCAGGCTTGCAAGGAAAATTCTTACTATGTGGATGTCTCATTTAGATACTCGTGTTATTACTTTTTCTGCCTATCTTGAAATGGTCTCTCAAAGTCTTTAATCCTTCCAGAGTTCTTATAATAGAATATTAGAAAATAGAAAAATAAAAAGCCTTGGGAGGTCATCTCAGCCTCCTCTTTGCTCCGAGAGACCCTGTTATGAAAAAGTACCACTGAGTTAGAATCATAACAGATGGAGAATCATATGTATAAATACATTTTTTCCCATGCAGTAGAGGAGAGAATCATGTGCAGATTTTTTTACATAAAGAAACAGTGTGTAGCTTACCCACTGTGAATAAATCTAATTTAGTCATCTTTATGCCTCCATGATCTTCATCCTCTGAAGTTTGCTGGAGGGTCAGATGTGCACTCTGGGAAATTTTCCAGATTCTGTGTTGGTTCTCTCTGCCCCCACCCTGCTTTTTAAATCCAGTACTCAGTCTTATGGAGTTTTTCTACATTATAACAATACCACCGGCAGCGCTGAGGCTGTGCTCAGGCCTCTGGTTTTGCTTCAGGATGAGCAAGTGGCACCTTTGGTGTAGTTGTGGGCTGCAGCCTCTGTGCGGCAGCAGCACATCGAGTGGCGAAAGCTCTGGTGTAACACAATCGTTTTCAGAGGTGTTGGGCACTAGGAGTTAGAGCTCTGCTTTCAGCCTCTACCTCTGATACTAATCTTCATATGATCTTTGGCAAAGCACTTATCTTTTGTGTTCCCCAGCTGCAAAAATACTTTGGTGCCCGGTGCCCCATCCTGTTTTTCATGTTATTTATTTATTTTATTTCACTAGTTTAGCTTAGTTCAGAGTTAGATTATTCTGGAAATCATTTTCAGATCACAGATACATCACTTAACTTACAGTGTTATTACTCTAAGGGGCTTCTTATTTTATAACATGTCACACTGTGTTATGTTTTTGGAAATACTTGCATTTGTAAATGAAACTGCATGTCCACATTAACAGACTTGAGCTCTTTTTTTTTTTTTTTTCTTTTTTTATTCCTCCCCCCCGTATGTTCTTCACAGAACTTAACTTCAAAATGATGAAAGAATTGCACTGGGTTGTTGTCGTCTAAACTCACTGGGAACTTTTAATTGTGTCTCAGTGAGTCAAAGATAGGATTGGCTTCCTTTTATAATTTGCAGCTGATGGAGATAAAAATTATAGAATCAGATACTCAGACTCACAGAATCATTTGAGTTGGAAGGGACCTTTAAAAGTGATCAAGTCTAGCTCTGCTGCAATGAATAGAGACATCTACAGCTAGATTGGGTTGATCAGAATATTGAAGCATTTCATTTTAAAAATGAGCAGTGGTAGTTATTTTCAGTGCAGTAGTGTCTCAGATTATTCCACGTATACAAGAACCCTCCTATACTGGGATTATCACATACACTTCAGAAAAAAAAAAAAAGAAAAAAAAAGTTGAAAAACAAATGGGATATATGGTGCTAAACATCTGCTCTTCCATGGAGAATACAGCCTATCTATTGCATTCTGGTGTGATGAGTGCTACTGTCTGTCCTTTCAGCTGTACAGCATGTATCTTTTAATATTGCATGCTTAAATGTCACTGATGCAGGTGATATAGTAAGTAGCAGAAACTCAGAAATTGGAGGATCTCATCATCATGGGATGGGTGTGCTTTGTACCAACCCTACCTTGCCTCCACTTTTGTATTGCACTGATGTGTTGCAATATTGCACATATGTGTTCTGTGTTTGCTGATGACATTAATGTATCACACTTTTCTCTGTCCAACCCCACAGCTGAAGGCAGATGAAAGGATCATCAAAACAGAGCATGGGCTGTTGATCCGCAGCTTGCAAAGGAGGGATGCAGGAGCCTATTTCTGCAAAGCCCAGGAGCACACCTTCATCCACACCATCGTGAAGCTGAATTTAAATGTCATTGAGAATGGACAAATGGAAAGCACCCAGAAAACTGAGGATGAGGAGGGTCGGGTGAGGGATTTGCTGACAGAGTCCCGACTGAGGTACAAGGACTATATCCAGCTCGTCAGCAGCCCCAGCTTTAGCCTGGATGAGTACTGTGAACAGATGTGGCACCGGGAGAAACGGCGACAGCGAAACAAAGGTGGTGCCAAATGGAAGCATGTGCAGGAGATGAAAAAAAAGCGAAACCGAAGGCATCATGAGCCAGCCAGGCCACCATCCACATAGTTTGCAAACACTATTTAAAGAAAGGACACTTTCCATGAAAAAAATACTGTGTTTTGTTTTTGTGCATCTTGCCTATGAATTAGTACTGCTTCTTATTGAAATAACTCATCATTGCTATTAATTTGTACATGACTGTACAGTGGGGTTTGATACCTTATTGGAGAACCACCCACCAGGCAATAATTCCAAACGCATTCATTAAAAAGAAAAGATGTACACTTTGAGCTAATTTCTGGATAGCCTGAGGCTACATGAGCTGAGTTCTCCACTTTCTGCATAATTTTCACATAGGATTTAGTATCCGTGTTCCCATGTTAATATCTGCTGCCACGTTCCACCCAGACATGGCTCCATTTCAGGAGAGGGCAGATGTATTCGTAGTTCTTTGGCATCTTTCTTAATAAGAAGCACGGTAGAAATGTGTGACAGATCTGCAAAAATACCCACTAATTTACCCATTGGGCTTCTATACAGGCACATGGGTGGGGTTTGCTAGCACATAGAGGCTCAGCAAAAAATCAAATTAAGTACTGGCTTAGGGACAACATTGATTTTTCCCATATATATAAAAAAAAAAAAAAAAAGAAGAAGAAGAAAGCATAATCATAGTTTAAGAGAGGGAAATTATCAAGCCTTATTCATTTGAGTTTGATAGCCATCAGTTTGCAGTCCATCTGCTGAAATGAAATGTTGACTCTAATTGAAACTGCCACTGAGATGCTTGGGAGTAAATTTCCTAAGTGGTGTGTGGGAGGTATGTGCACAAATCCTATTAACAAATAATGGGATTCCTGCCTGTGCTTCTCTCATATCTCTAAATGTTGTTCACTGGCTGTATCTCTGGCCCTTTGCTAGCCTCATTTTATGCAAAGGAAAAGAAAAATAAAAGACAAGAAGAATGCTAAAACAAAAGACGATGAGGGAAGATATTTAGTAGCTGAGACCAGTGCTCTTGACATAGAGCTGACATTCCTCAGATGTGTGTATTCTTTGGGATTTTCTCCCAAAGGTCTTATGTATTTTTAAGTTGAAAATTTGCCTTGTTGGAATTGATACTTTTATTATAAATAAATAAAACAAGAGATGTCCATGTGTAAATAAAACTTGTAAGTTAGAAATATGCTATGTACTATGATTCAATTTGTAAAGTGTTCCTTGTGCCTCAGTTTGTATTTTGCTTGTAACAGTGTAGATCTTTTCACATAAACAAAAAACCCTGTCCTTATTCTTGTCTATTTGACATCATCACGGTTTCACTGAATTTATTCCTGATATGCAGCAACAAACACAAGCTCAAAATCAGGCCTACTGTCTTTTCTCATAAGTCACAGCTCCCCTCTCTCCTCTTCCAGCTAATCCCCTCCGTTTTGCCTTTCATGCCTTTTTGAGTGTGAAATGACAAATTAACCACTTCTTCACATGGAAGAGAGCTTCGATGGATACCAAAATGACAGACTTTACTCATTTCTCATGCATTTTACTGATCTGGAGACCAAAGTCTGTGGGAAACCCATGTAATTGGTGAGCACCTCATTAAGGAACTGAGAATGCTGCCTCAGGAAGTTGTAGGTTCTCCTTTACCCATACTGATGCTTGCGCATGCATTCAGTCCTGGGTTGATAACCATGTATATGCCATTTTCATCATTGTTCATTTCCTTTTTTTTGAAAGTCAGAGATAGCAATGTGTGCATCAGACTTCAGAAAGGATTCTCAGCTTACCCACACTTCCTGTAAAACCTGAAAGTTGCATTTGCATGTGTTGTATAAAAGCTGGTGATACTGAGTCATTAATTTTAGATATATATATATTTTTTTTTTATATAGAAGATGATATATGAGTTAATTAGGAAATATTAGATAGCATGCATACAATGCTTTGATAGTGTATAGCACTGAGTGCTAATATTATAAAACATGTCTGTGGGGAAGAGGGAATTTCTCATCTCAAGACTTTTAATTAGCAGAGAGACTGATGCTGAAGACACTACCCAGGAGTACACTACTTTGAACACCTGCCCAGAACTTTTTTCTGACACTTTTGCAACACAGGAGGCTCGTCATTTTGAGCACCTTGATTTTAAGGCTAATTAGGACTATTTAAAGGAGGTTTGGGGGGCTATAAAACTACTAAATGTAAAACACCCTGTGACTGGGATACTCAAATATTCTTGGCTGGAATTTTGTGATGTCATAACACAGAACCTGTGCAATTATTATTAGATTTTTATCAGTCCATTAAGTCTCATTTCTCTGACTCAAACATTAATTAAATGTGTGGAATCACAGCAAGACTATAGAATAACACATGGTCTAGGTTTACATGGATTGACAAAGAGCCTACTCTTCTCTCCAGCAGTGACACAGTACTTTAATTACGGCATTTCAGACAACTGTCATCTCATGTTTATTTAAAATCAAATCAGTTCCTTTCTTCCATGTTTTTTTTTTTTTCCTCCATGAAAACTAAATCATTTAATTTATGTTTAGATATGACTTGGGGGCATGTATTCTACGAATGAAACCCCCACACTGACTTTAGTAGAAATCATGAATGACTAAGTGTCTCAGTGCTGGGAGCAGTAGATTTTAATGCTTGAATTAAAATGTTATTACTCTTAAAAAACAACTTTCATTTCTTTTATTTCAAATGTTGTTGCAATGAGATTCTTTTTAAAGAAATGACCTCATCAGTCTGGGTAGCATAAAACCCCAAGAGAGATATAAGGACACTTCCATTATGGGGGAAAAAATTCAATATCCTCTAAAGCAGTTGGCTGTACTGGGTTCATGCCACTCCAGGGAGAATATTTAATAATGTTGCGTAGATAAAAGTCTGTGTTTTGGTACACTGGATAAGAGGTCCCCAAAAGCTGTCAGGGCTAGCACAGCTTCTTATGCTCAGTAGATTTTATATGCGCAAGGTGGCCAAAGGATGTTGGGGACCAGGGAGTGAGCAGGATCAATCAATGATCACTGCAGAAAACAGGTTTTGTTAGGCAGGACTCTGTGATATAAACCCAGGAGGAGCCATGGTTCTTTCTGCAACCTGAGGTCCCAGATTGAGATGCAGAGGATGAACTCACCCAGAAACTAGACCAGCAGAGAATCAGAAATGATCTTTCTCTTTTCAGAAAAGTTAATCTTGTGTATAGTTAAGGGCTAAAACCAAAACCTGCCTAAAATTCAAACTGATGATTTGGGGATCTGTTGGGCTGCTCCAAGAAGTACTGTGAGCCACAACAGGCTCATAGTTAAAATGAAACTGAGCCTTGCCTCCTGCAAGAGCTCAATAAAAGTGAAGTTAAACAAAGTTTTGGTCCACGGTGGAAAAAAAGTTGCCTCCACCTTAATAACTGTAGTTTTTAAACAGATCCCTTAGTGCATATGATACAACATGGATATTTGTTTACAAATGCATTCAACCAGGAGTCCAATTATTAATAAATTATCTTTTATTTCAACAAAACTTCCACTGACCCTGCTTCAGAAAATGGCCAGTGCTTGACTGCAGTGGTTTTAAACAGATTTCTAGAATAACCAGCACAATGTGAGCTCTAATTATAAAAATACTGAAAACTGACATAATCTTTAAAGCCCAACAGGGCTCTAAGCTCTGTAGAGATCTCGTAGTCGGTTAAAATAAAACAGAAAATGGGATTCGCAGAAAAAGGAATAAAGTATTAGCACTTGTTGTGATAAACTTGTTGAATTACTGGAAACTGTTCCAACAACAGGTGTGAATGTGTTCATGCCATAAGCAAATACTTTTCTCTTAAAGCAATTAAACCTACTCTAGCTTGAGATATCTCAGAACCTGAATTCTTTCCAATTCATAAGCAGATTTTGGATCTGGTTCTCATGTCACTCATAATGAAGTAATTAGGATAAAGGCTGCATCTTCACTCTAGTTCACATGCTTCTGAGATCAGAAAATCCCTACAGTTAAAAGGCTATGAAGCATTTAATCTAACCGTTACAGGTATTGATCTACATTTAATACTTCAGATAACTACCTACTGCTTGTTATTATCGCTCAGTTATTCACATAATAAGCCCATGTGTCTCATAATAATGTCTCAACATTTAATAACAAGTAAAGCAAATTGATTTTACTAACGTCTTTTTATATGAGCATATGTGTATAGCAGGACATACACAAATGTGTTATGTTCATTTTTTAACAGAGGGTAATTGCAAAAGACAAATGTGATTTTCAAGTGTTAAGATTCAGATTGGTTTCCACTGACAGCGAATATCAAAAGCCTACTGGAATTGAATCACAGTCTAAGGAGATTATACAGTAGTTCCAGTCTAGTAGTCAAACAGCCAAAGCTGTGTGATGCCCTGAACCATGTATTTGCCTAGTTCTTCTTGTAATTGAGGAATGGAGGTCTGAGGAATGATATCTGCATGAATAGGAAATCAAGCCCACCTATCTCTCTAATATTTTGTTACATTTTAAAAACCTTACATGATCTCTATTATAATATTTTACCATTATGTTGCTAATATTATCCTGCACTAGGCTTCTATAACTAGATTGTGTGACATTCTTTGTGACTGTAATCCAGTTTTCAAGGCTTGTAAATAATTTCAGTCTAGCGAACACTAAAAAAAAAAAAAAAAAGCACATGTGACTAAATGACACCTGACATGGAAGTGTGTATGGAGCAAAGGTGTGTCATTCAGCTCCTCCATGTGGAAAAAATGACACCCATTGACATTCATCAACACTTGCTGAATATTTATGGAAACCAAACAGCGGATGTAAGCACAGTGAGGTGGTGGGTGCTGTGTTTTCAGCAATAGCAGCAGCAACACTGGGTCACCACCACTGATGCAGATTGTTAGGAGTGCGGCATGCAGGCTGTTGTTAATTCCTGGCAGAAACATACAGCTAATGGTAGTGGCAATGTTGACAAATAGTGTTTTGTAGCTGAAAATTTGCTCTAAGAAATAGTGTTATTGTGCTCTTCCTATCTGTTGTAGTTTCTATTGAAATAAATCACTGAATCACAGAATTCTTAGAGTTGGAAAGGACCTCTGAGGGACATCTAGTCCAACTTCCCTGCAATGAACAGGGACACCACAGCTAGATCAGGTTGCCCAGGACGTCTCCAGGGACGAGGTATCCATCACAACAGTAGGTAACCTTTTTCGGCACCACACTGTCCTCACTGTAAGATAATAAACAGGAGAAATTACTATCGGAGTATCCTATGTACTTCTTTGATTTTTCTTCCCATGACTTAAGCTTGTTGTCTCCTGCTTCTGAGAGACTTCTGTATTAGGTAACTGCCTCTGTGTGGAGAAATATTGCAGGATCTGGTATTTCCTTGGGTTATAAACCACCTTACAAACCCAAGGTATCACAATTTGCCTTCAGACAATGACTTTCCTAAGCATCAGCTTTTGCATTCAGCTGCAGATGTAAACCAAATACCGTGAGATAAATTAGAGAACAGATGGGCTTGCATTTACAAATGAGATTTTTGGGACTGTTACTTAGAGCTCTCTCCTTTCCCTATTACATATATGATTGCTCAATTTACAATCAAAGTATTTTGTTCTTTAAAGCATAA